ATAATATCAGGTTTATAGACCATACACTTTATTGAATGGGAACGCCACGCACCACAGTGTTTGTTCGCACAATGAGGGACTTAATGCATTAGCTAAATTGATTAATACGTGGCACCTAATTGCTCGTAGTGCTTTCAAGATAAACTATAACAGCGCATAATGAACGCTGTTCAGAGATTATCTAAATTAATTGGACAGTAAGTGTATACAATAAAAGAGAGGGTAGTCCATTTAGACATCTGCATACCATATACCTATCTATACTATATATACTATTCTATAATAATAAAGCGTAAACACACACTTCTTTGTTGCTTAAGATGTCAGCAATTATAGCATATTTTTGAATAACTCTTTTTTTAATAAAAAGCCCTACACTCACGTCACGCTTTGGGCTATATATTTTTACGCTATTACTTAGGGAGAAAAATTTTTAGATAAAAACCCTAATGTGGGAAAGAGACCATAAGTTGCTGCCGACATCAAGGGAAAAAGGTTTGTCATGTCAAGACATTTGCTATTGATAATTTGACAATTGTGAACAATAATATAAATTTTCAAAATTTTATGCGGATGAAGCACGGGAACAGCTAGTGTAATATAAAAAAAAGAATCTACTGGACGCTAAATAAGGGACGACCAACCAGAGGTTGGATAACAATTGGTAGCGACCGACAAGTAGTTGGGTAATAAATAGGTCGCGACACATTTTTATAGTGTGAAAGTGCATATTATGCGAACCCTAAAATTGAGGTTCTACTCTAATCTTTCAATTACATTAATAATAAAAGTATTACGTTAGTTTACAAGTAAATTAAAAATACCAAAATGTTTGTGCTATACAAAATTAAAATAACGTATTCACAAAAAACTTGACATAAACCTGAAAATGAGTACTTTAGAACGCACAATTTACTCTTTGTGAAAGGGAATTTAATTTAATTTCCATTACAAAATAGAAAGTTAATTGAAATGCAGGTAGGCGAATGCAAAACATGTATTTTCATGCAAATCCGTCCTTGCGCCGCGCGTATATCATATCATGATATAAAATTGTTAGTCCCTGCGAGATCACACGTAAATTCAGTTCAACACGTGCGGTGAATTTAAAACCCGAATAAAGCTATAATTGTATGTTAGTGAATTGTTTACTCGTGAAAACATAAATTCAATTCTGAAATGTACAATTAGAACATAATTAATTAAGGAAAATATGTTTTGTATAAAATAATTTTTTGTTGCGTTTTAGAATAGAGTATGGTAGAGCTAGATTTTTGAAGACTTAGATTTGCTATACATTTTATTATAGAGATGCAAAAGCAATCATTACAAGTAGAGTGATTTAACTGTAAAATATATATATATATAAATATACTATATACAAATCACTATATACTATATACAAAATATATACTATATACAAAACTTTATAACAATATTTGCATAACAACAAAAAAAAATGTAATCTTACTAATAATAAAAATGCGAAAGTTTAGATGGCTGGATGAATGTTTGTTAGATTTTGTAGCCTAAATATAGACGTAGAGGATAGGCTGGAAGAACACATAGGCTATACTAACTTTACATATACTAACTTTTGTTTTTTTCAATTCCACGCGGACGAAATCGCAGGCGAAATCGAGTAACTGAATAAAAATCATCTGGATTTGGAAAAAAGTTTATGAAATTTACTTTAGAATAATTGTTTATTGGAACATTTTATATTTAAAATAAACGGCAAGTGATTTAAAAATATGCGGTACATTTAAAAGATATGTAGAGAACAAAACAAAACGACAGAACAAACAGAGTAAATTCATTCTATATTGTTCGCACGCCCATTGTTTTGTGAAATAAAATGTACATTTAAAAGGAACTATTGTTTAGGAGTCGCATCAGAAATGCTTTTTCAATCGATCTCTACAAGTTCAAAGCGATGGAATTTTTCATTAATTGTAAAAGGAACTTTGCGTTAGTTCTAAATTGCAATATTAAAAACATTTGTTAACGAAACAAGGTTTCTCTTTTGCAAATGGAATTTCAATTGAACTATAATATTATTTCGGTAATGTTTACTTCTTGTAAAAAATCAATGGCGAACCCGATACAATCACGAACTTTACCAATCTTTGATGAGCAAAATGTCGACCAGGCAATTAAAATTGGTCGGCTACGCTGGACAGGACATGTAGCGAGGATGAGTGCAGAGTGCCCAAGCGCCTATTCGAGAGTCAACCAGAGGGCCGAAACTAAGATGGTAAGATGATGTCGAACTAGACCTTAAAAATGTCGGCATTAAGGGCTGGAAACAAAAAGCCCAAGATATACCGATATGGAGGAATTTACTGGACCTGGCCCAGGCCCATCCGCCTCTGTAGTGCCTCTGATGTTGATGAATGTTTACTTCTGTTTCTTTTTTAAAAAAATAATATTTCCACCGTGACATACAGAAACACAAGGCAAATTCATCGCTTATATTTTACTGTCATTAATATAAGGGTAATGTTAACTATCTAACACGCTACGAAGCGAGGAAGATTTAGATAACGAGCTACAAATCTTCCGTGGAATTTATCATGGGCGGCGCATGTTCGGACTGGGGAGGTATAAATTGTGTTCCAACGACTTGCATTATCCATTTGTTTTATTGCCTTAAACAGGTGAAATGTAGATATAGTTAATACGTTTTTATTACGATTAAAATCTTTAGTTTAAAAAGCGTTATATTATTGGAAAAAGGCACTGCTTCAGATATTGACAGTGGAAAAGGCTACGACTTGACGTAACTTAAAAAGATTATAGGGTATTCAATATGGGATGTAATGGGTAGCAGGTCATTAGGTTAAAAAAAATGATAAAGTGAGGTTCAGGTATAACAAAGATTTAAAAAAAAACATCGCAATTTAAAGACTTGTGTGACGTTTCTCATATGTAGAAAAATAATCTATACCGATATTATATAAAAAAAAAGATTTGTATTTTGGTATGTATTGAAACAACTCAAAAACTACTTGTCTGTTTTCATAAATATTTTTACCATTAAAAAATTACATTTTCAATAAGTAACATAAGCTATAATTTTTATTTTATTTAAATTTTACGCGGTCGAATTCGTGACCAACAGCTAATCTTTAGGAAATAATGGTAGTTTTGAAATTAAAGTAAATACTGAGTTTCTGAATAGTCAATGGTATTTCATAGATGATCCAATTGTCAGCTTTAAGTTGCAATGCTGCAATACAAATCGTCAAATATCTAGAATATCTACAAATTGGTACCGCAATAACAATTCTCAGCTTCATAACTAAGTTCCAAGTAGGTGAAGTTATTGCTACAGATTTATGACATCAATATTGTTATTGAAAACGAATTTCAAATTCATAGATTTCCATGTAAAATTTTAGCACTTTTTGTTTTTTCTAAAAAACAAAACAAAACACAATTTTTTTATTTGAAAAACAATTGAATTGTCATTGGTCTTGTTAAATCTAATGAAGTAGCTTTATAATATTAAGAATATTATTTTAACAAAAAGTAATTCTAAGTATCTATAAAAATACGTTTACAAGCATCCTTTAACGAAGTAAATTTTACCGTTTATTGGAAAACGGTAGCATTTCGATATAAACCAGTCGAGTTCCACAATGAAATTACCGTTATACGATTTTTTTTATTTTCATAATAAAAAAAGAAAACAATGCCGTATTTACGACTATAATGAAATAACCAAAGTGCTACATAAAAGTAAAGGCAGGCGTATGTTCGAGTACGAACAGTGGCTTGTAAAGTTTTGAGTGTTTCATATAAATCACGAACATTCATGGTTGGATGTAAAAAAAAGAATTTTTTCCTTTAACATTGCCTTAACAACTTATAACCGTGCATATGTACAGGGTAACGTAGAATATAGAACTTAAACCGGCCTTCCAATCGCTTTCTTTTGTCTTTAATGTAGGAATCTAAATTAATATTTCCTTCAATTGCAAAGGTTTTGTGCTGATAGTTAGGCTACAGCCTTGTTATACATAACATGTTATATGTGTTTAAGAGATGGAAACAAACAATAAGATTTTGACTCAAGTCCTGCATATGACATAATTTTTTTAATGTTGTGACATTATTAAGACATGTTATACTAGCTGTTGCTCGCGACTTCGTCCGCGTGAATTAAAAAATGTAGCCTATATTACTCACAGATAAATTACCTTTCTAATGGTGAAAGAATTTTTAAAATCGGCCCAGTTGTTTTTACGTGAATCGAATACATACAAAAATACAAATCTTCCCTCTTTATAATATTTGTATAGATTATTTTATTATATTAACTGTTAACATAGGCATACTTTTTAATACAATACGTCTGTCTGTTTGATATTTTTTTTAAGAATTAGTGTTTTTTTATTTTAATTTTTCCTGATTTTTTTAAATACTCCAACATCGTATAACCTAAAGGGTGAGATGGGGAATGGGAAGCAACAAAAGCATGTAGATGATAATGGCTCGATAAAATAAATTACAATAAACATCCGACGTAATATCAGCATATCTGAAACACAAAGATAATGAATAATGATTGTCCAAAATATGTACATTCCATATTCTGGAATGTAATGAAAATGTAGTAATTGTTATTAGATATTTCTAACACAACAATTAATTAGTTAAGATATTTTATTAACAAGGGAACAGAAGACATATTATTGAGAGCATATCGTTTACGTTACATCAAAATTTATACGTTAAAATAAATTACTTGGAACATATTAAGGAAACGTTGAATTAGAAAGCGTACAAATTATTGAATGCTTCCTTTTAACTTTCCACTACTAAAACACTCGTAAATGATCATATAGTCATCTCTGTTCTTTTCCAAAGAGTAGGAGAGAGACATACATGTTTTTGTACGAGTGCTTTGATGTCTTATATTTATGTTACTTCTGTTCCCTTTGTAAACACATAACAAAACACATCAAACAAAATCAATACAACTGTGTACATACTTGGTTTCATCTATGTAGACTGCTTCGAGGACTTTGGCGGCATATTGGAGGTTCTTTTGTAACGTTTCCGCGGGTATTTCACCCCTATTTAATTGTCTGAGTAGATAGCGTAATCTGTGGACAAGAAAAGTAAATTTTAGAAATATAATACGTAAATATACAGAAAGATAACTAACTAGAAATTGAATTAAGAAATTAAGGCTATTTTATTAACTAAATAATCTGTGCCGCCAACAGAGAAATAGGGCGGATAGAGTGTTAGCCGTACAATAATTAGTTTATAATATTGTCTACGAATGTTTAAACTATTTAAATAATGTTGAAAAATTGTAGAAGAATCCTCTTTCTGTTAGCCCCTTCTTCGTCAATTAAAGTTCTTAGTTAATGTGCCACGGGTTCGAAAGAAGCGATTCGAGAATCTTTTCTCGTGCGCCCAACAAAGGAATGGAACAAGTTGCCGGCATCAGTGTTCTCGTCCAGTTATAATGTGGGTGCCTTCAAGAGCAGGGTGAATCGGGACTTATTGAGCTAGCGCGCTTTATTCTTCGGCCGCGTCTTCACTAAGCTTTGGTGGAGTCGTGGTCATGCGCTGGTTTATTCAAGTTAAAAAAAAGTTTAACGCATCTACTGTTATGTATGATCATGTTCAGAAATAATTTCGCTATTTCAGCGAATTCTAGGTACAAGGTGGGCGTACCTTGCTTGTTTACTACTTTATGATATAAAACAAAATTGCTACACTGAAGTGTTATACTGATTTTATTTGAAAACGTAATGTATTATAATTTTTTTTATATTAAGTAGGGAAGGAAATAATTCAATACAATTGTCATTGTAGAAACGTTTATGAGAGCTAATTGATATGCGCTATGAGTAAAGTAATACAAAGAGAGTTTAAAATGAATATCATTTTAATTGAACTCCACTTATTGATAATTGAAATTGTTTTATTTTTATACTCTCTTTTAGTGATTATTTTTTATAGCTTATGATTAATTGTATAGTACTTAAATTCCCTGAAATAATAGATTCAATAATGTATCATTAAACTGCCACAGTTTAATTTTTTTTATGTTTTTTAAGCTAGCGCTTGACCATTATCTACTGAAAGTGAAGATGTGGTCGAAGTATGGTCCGCGCTACCCTAATAAATAATAAAAACAAATCATAAATCCATACCTACTGATAAACTACTTACGAAGTTATTAATAACTAAGTTGAAATTTAATTCTACTTTCGTAGATAACTTTGTTACAAAAGGTTATAAATAGGCTCTCTACAAGTTGGTTTAAGTTTACGCTTCGTTAAACAAATTTTACTTTGACTCGTACCTGAAATAACATTCAAATAAGCGTAACATTTATAAAACGCACTCAGATTGAAACGAACTGTCTTGACGCTCCAGTTAGCAATAATTACAATATGTTAGGAATTTTACTTTTTGCTGATTTTGACTGTTTTTACTTGCCTTTGAAAGTGAATACGGTCGATTACTATATATTTTCTTATGTACTCACCTCATTTTAGGTATTCTGATATATGTTTATTTATTAGTCTCGTCGTTTTAAGGTAACATCAACGATATCGAAAAATACTAACTTCATTCCGCGTGGAATAAAAAAAAAGTATCTAAGCCAAATTTCATTGATATCCGTTGAGCTATTTAGAAGGTAAACTCTAACAAGCATTCATCCATCCATCTAAACGTGCACATAATAGTAATACGATTGTTTTGTGACATCGAAAGTAATAAAAATAAAATATTAGAGTGAGATATACTTCAAAGAAATACAGATGAAAATTGAGCTACGATAGTTGCTACGATCGTAGCTTGCTACGAACGCAGCTTGCTACACCATATATTTTATTTTCTCTGTTGTAGCGCTACGATTTACTCTTCTATGCATTTCTAATTCTTTACTATAGAAATGAGAGCAATGTTTATTCAGCGTTTCAATAGAGTAACAAGAAACTGCATAAAATCAAAGCTATTTCAAGTGAAACGTTGGAAAAGTGAACTTAACTTAACAATTAGACTTCATCAAATGAACATAAACTTGAAGCGTTCAATAAAATCTTCAACGCAGTAAAAAGAACAAAGAAAAGAAGGATACACGGCTCCAAACAGCGATCGATACTTCCCCGTACACATGATTACTATCGTATCGTGTTACATTACATGGGCTTTGTGTTTATATTGTGCACACTTATATTTATCTATACTATTATAATAAAGCGTAAACACACACTTCTTTGTTGCCTAAGATGTCTGCATATTTTTTTTACAGCATATTTTGGAATAATTCATTTATCAATAAAAAGGCCTACACTTACGTCACGCTTTAGGCTACATATTTTCACGCTATTAAACTTTGGGGGTAAATATTTTGTATAAAAACCCTAATGTGGAAGAGAGACCATAAGTTGCTGACAACATCAAGAAAGAAAGATTGCTAAGGTTTGTCATGTCATGATATTTTGGCATTTGCTATTGATAATTTGACAAATGTAAATAATAAAATAAAATGTTCATAATTTCATGCGGATGAAGCCGCACGGGAACAGCTAGTTGTCTAATAATACAGGGAGTTTATAATACACCACAATTACAGCTGCAGTATGTATACAATTACAATTTCGCCCACGCATCCGTCCGCGTGGAATTATAAAAAGTAAGTAGCCTACGAGTTGTTCTTATTACATTTATGCTAAATTTTAACGAAATCCGTTCAATAGTTTAGGCTACAAACTCTAACAAACATAGGGTAGGCAACGCATCTATAAGTGCGGGTGTTTATGGGCAGCGGTTGCTTCGCCATTTTGGCGGACTCAGGTGGCCGGTTGCTCGTTTGCGACTTTATGTTAAAAAAAATCTATATAAACTATCGCATTTATAATACAGCTTTCGTCCCGACTCCGTCCAGGTGGTATTAAAAAACCAAACCAAGTGGCCTATGTGTTTTCCCAGACTATCCTCTACATCTATGCCAAATTTCATTGTAATCCGTTCAGCAGTTTAGGCTATAAACTCTAACAAACATCCATCCATCCATTCATCTAAACATTTATATTATAACATTAGTATGAATTATGATTGAGCATCCAAAACTAGTATACGCTTTCGATTCCAAAATTACGTATTCTGTAAGTACTTGAATCGATTTAAAAATTCAATATTTATTGCTTCAAACATATAATATAAGAGAAAATTTTGTTTTAGTTTCAACTAATGTGGACGTCAACAGACAGATCTCAAGTCCCTTAAGTACTCGCTAAAAGCAAGACCTTTCATCCTCAAAGACAAACTTTTATACGAAGTACGGATTAATAAAACGATTGAAAGTAAATCTTTTTATTGAATAATCCTTTCTATTGAACAAAATATAAAAGTGTGATTCAATTCTTTAATGTTACGTGAAACTTCGATATCTGTATTTTTTTATCCCATTTAATTTTAAAGAAAAACTATGAATACGATATGTTTTTGAACAGCTATTTAGAAAATCTAAGTCTAATGGTGCGTACTGACTGACTGTTACGCGGTGTAACACGCGTAACATTAATGATGTAACACTCGTACATTTCAGCATAATAACGTAGTAATTGGCTTGAATGTTTGCAGTATAAAGAGAAAGAAATTAACCTTAAGCCAAATATGCTCTTGTTTATCATATTTCTATGATTCTGACGTTTTATGCTAAAAGTTTTTTAAACATGTAAGTCTTAAGGCAATTAAAATGTAAACATTTTTGATATATAATTTTATTTTGAAATTAAATGAACTTACAAACGTTTAATTTAAAACTTCCGCTTAATAATATTTATACAGTATCGTTGATGTTAATTACAATATATTTCATTAAAGTGTGAAGTGCAATAACAGGTTCGTATCGAGAGTTTTGTTGATTTATTAATTAATTATATTAATATTAATTAATGATAATGATCGACGCATTATAATTAATATTGCAGCTTTTATTTATTACAAAGAGAAGTATTTTGTATGTAATGAGTAAATTTAAAAACTCTCGGACAGATTTCAATAATACTTTTGTTAGAAAGCAACATTATCACTGAGTAACATTGGCTACATTTATTACTAGGCGCTCCCGTGCGGCTTCATCCGCATGACATTATGAAAATGTTATCAATATATTGATAGCAAATGTCAAAATGACATGACATGACAAACCTTGGCAATCTTCCTTGATGTTGGCAGCAACTTATGGTCTCTTTCCCACATTAAGGATTTTATCCAAAATATTTACCCCCAAAGTTTAATGGCGTGAAAATATATAGCCTAAAACGTGATGTAAGTGTAGGGCTTTTTATTAAAAAAACAGTTATTCAAAAATATGCTGTAATTGCTGACATCTTAGGCAACAAAGAAGTGTGTGTTTACGCTTTATTATAATAGTACAGATAGTATAGACTAGTTTTAAGTTAAATGTAAATACTAGTTATAACATGTAATACAATAGCAGTATCATATATGGTCAGCTTTTTCACACAAACATTATATCTTTTAGAAACCCGAAATGACAGACATTCGATGAATTGAATTTGATATCCCTTTCTCGCGTACCATTTCCGTTTGTCATCTTTTTTCCTTTCGCGATGATGACATTATATTCGGACGTTCGTTGGATATTTTTGGTATAAATTTAACTTACATCACTAGTTATAGTACCTTTTTAAAATACTTTTCAATGTTCAGAACAAAATGATTTTTTTACATAATTTCAAATACATCGAAATTTCTTTATAAAATAATTTAGAACATATCGTTAGAAATTTATTTATATTGTTGTTTAAAAAGATAAAAGTTGTAACTTTATAAACTGAAAGGTATAAAGCTTCAGTTTTAAAAACATTTATTTCAGTATCAATTTAATTTCGAAAGCAGTTTAACAAATCTATCTATACTGATGCAATAAAGCGTAAACACACACTTCTTTGTGGCGTAGGATGTCAAAGATCAGGATGATTAAGGAACCAAGGTTATGATGGTAACGGTAATTTTGAAATTTACAATTAATTCGACATTGACTAATGTAAACAATAAAATAAAGTTTTTATAATTTCATGCGGATGAAGCCGCACGGGAACAGCTAGTCTATAATAAAATGCCAGTAAAATGTATTACATTGGATTACATGCGGCTACAATCAGTAGACAATATCCGGTAGAGGGATGTACGCGCGTTCATACCGGAACATAAACGTCAATGAACCGTGAACATCGAATGGTCTTTTGATCTTTATTGTTCATTGGCTGTGGATAATGTCGCAGTATAAGTGAAAATGTGAGATACCGTATCGATAATTATTAAAGTTCTAATTGTTTTAGTACATTGGACACCGACGACGACATTCTAGTCCTTAACTGTTTACCATTTTCTTTTAAGCAGACTCAAATGCTGCCTCTTCTTACAGGACGTCACTTTCTCTAGCCATTAGAATAAACTTTTAACTTGTTTCACATGTCTATGGTCAGTGCTGGACAGTAGAGCAAGTACGTACCTAAGTGCGGCCTTATCGCATGCGTCGGGCGTGTCGACGGCGGGCAAGTGTTCGGTGTCAAGGTCGAGCTGGTCGAGTTGCTCGTCAGTGGGCGTCGGGCACTCGCCTTTGCTGCGGCTAGACGAGCGACGGACTATCGTAAGAGCGCCTTGTTCTGTGGACAAATGAGAAGATACGAGTGATTCTTGTGTACGATTTGATCACTTATAACAGATTTTAAAGTCATTTGAAGGTCAAACTGAATCCCCATTGACCTTGAGTATTTAAAAGGTTAAGTTCAATAACCTCTTGTTAATAACGATCATGTTTAAACACTAAATTACAACTACTAGAAAAAAACATGCTTGTACAATGTATTTTAGACATGCAATAACATTCAGTGAATGTAAATGTGTAGATCGTTTCTCAGAGTACAGTCTGCTTCATATTGTCAGTTTTAAATGTACAGTCGTATTGTACAGTTAAACTCAAGGTAAAACTTCGAGACCGCGCGGAACTAAAAAAAACAAATGCAAGTAGCCTATGTGTTTTTCCAGTCTATTTTCTATATATACATATATGCCAGATTTTATCGAAATTCATACAGCCGTTTAGGCTACAAGCTCTAACAAACATCCATCCATCCTAATTTTTTGCATTTATAATATTAGTATGATTTTAAAACCAGGTTTTTGCATTTTTTCCAATTCACAATTTACTTGTATGCCTCAATAAAAAAACAAAATAGAATAACTATTGAAAACTAACAAAAATCTGTTTGGATTATCCTGTACTGTTTGGATTCTGTGTGCGCTTTTTCGATTTGGATTCCGTTTAATCGAACGGCTACATCGAGCTACGTCACAAGCTATTCTCACTCTTCATATCCAAGTGCCATTTGCTCTGTTTGCTATTAAATGAAAGTGGATACTCTTGGCTCCGTGATGTCGCAACGCTCGGTAACTTTTAACTGGGATATTGTAGTATTAATTTTTGAATCATTCCGCTTTTCGGACTTAAAAATGCTAACCTTTTATCAAGCAAAATAAAATATTCTTTGATTCCTCATAAAAACTGATAAAAACAATTTACATATAGTTTTTCGCAGAACGAAAATAAACTACAATCACGGAAACGTTGGCGGCATCAGCCCACGCTTGACATTTTTCCTTTTGCAGTCAAAAAGCAAATCTTTTCAAAATAGAGAGAACTATTTTTGAATTACATTAAATTGGCTTAGCTGGCAGAAACTTCAAAATAAAATAATTATACAATAAAGAGATAGTAGTTACTAGAAGGGAGTTCTTTATTTGTAAGATACTAGCTTTCGCCCGCGACTTCGTCCGCGTGAAATTAAAAAAATAAACAAAAGTTTATCCAAATTTTATCGAAATCTGTTCAGCTACTTAGGCTACAAACTCTAACAAACATCACCTAAACGTTCGCATTTACAATATTAGTATGATTTAGGATTTATTCACTGTTAGTGTATTCTTGTTTTAGTATATTTTGTTTGTATTTATTACTCAAATCTTTGAAAGGCACAAAGTCACACATGCATAGCAAAACTCAACGTTAGAACAAAGCCTCCAAATTAAATGTCGTCCGCACACAACACTCGATTGTGGAACGAGAAAAACTGAATTACTTTAATAAAAATGAAAATTCAAACCAACAAAAATGTTAATATTTGTATAAAATTGAGCGTTTTCATTGCAACAACATTATGGTATGTATTGCCACACAAATATAAAAATACCTCGCCATATTGCGGATAAAGGAACTATTTTGCGAGCGAAAGTGTTATAAAGAAGGCAGGAAGCATTCACATCTAAGAATTTGTACATTCTTGGTCATCCCTCACTTGTTTATTGTTATTCCGTAAAGGACCTTAATATGTGGAACAAAACGCATAACGCTAGTATTAAAAAAAATAATAACGAAATGTCAAGATTTCCTTGTAAATATACTATGGAATAACGAGAAATAACTAAACAAACTCTTTCCCAGTTTGAAATACAACAAATTAATTGCTCAATGTTGATACTTCAATGAAAATACTTGATTTGTTTGTTCATTTTTGTTTTCCCTCGTTTAACTCGCAACGAGTGGCGCTTCAATCGACAGCGAAAAATGCTTAGCTGAAAATATTTTATACTCCAGAGAGTGAATAAAGGAGCTCTTGATATCTTGAATTATTTGTAATTGTTTTAACTTGCTTTTATAATGCCTCTTTTGTATATTTTCTTTAAGTACATTTTTCACAGATTATAAATTGAATTTTGGCATTCGAATGTAGGTTTGTCTATGCCATGGCTGATAAGAGAATAGTCAGAAAGAGACTGTTTTCTCAACATGAAATAAAGTCAGTTACTGATTGTGTAAGTTCGAATTTTATATTACAAAAGCTCTTATAATAATGTCTTACATCAGCCTTGTACTAGATTATTTAGGCCTTGAATTAAACAGGAACATTCTTTCTTGGTCAGTTGTGTCCCTTTGGGACAATGCGAAATGGCCAATCTCGAGAATAAATGCGGAATTGCCCAAAGGACAGTCGGCACTCAGCTTTGAAGTGATGGAAGCCTTAAAAACGCTGGAACCATTTGTTTTTCAATTATTCATCGTAACATTATTCTTTATTTACGTCGTCGTCTTCATGTCTTTTTAACTTGGATTTATTGTACGTTTTGTTTTATAAGTGACTAGCTGTTCCCATGTGGCTTCATCCGCATGAAATTATGAAAATTTTACTTTATTCTTTACATTTGTCAAATTATCAATTGCAAATGTCAAAATGACATGACATGATGACAACCTTGCTTCCTTGATGTTGGCAGCAACTTATGGTCTCTTTCCCACATTAGGGTTTTTATCCAAAATGTTTACCCCTTAAGCTTAATGGCGTGAAAATATGTAGCCTAAAGCGTGCAAAAGTGTAGGGCTTTTTATTAAAAAAAAGTATTATTCAAAAATATGCTGTAATTGCTGACATCTTAGGCAACAAAAAAAGTGTGTGTTTACGCTTTATATAAAAGCATAGAGTAGGTTTAATGCTGTCTTATGTGCTGTGAATAAAAATATATTTAAACCTGTACAATAGTACTTTTAAAAAAACTACTTATGACATCTGAGAATTTGGCCATCCAAGGAGTCTTAGATCTTTTCCACCATTATCACCTTTTCTATCAATAATAACTAATCTTCAGTTTTAACTATACAGTCGAACTGTGTTATTAAAAGTGCATGCATTATTTTTAACAGCGTCATTAACTGACGTAACATTTTAATGGCCGCTTCGAAAAATATAGGAACAAAAGCTTCCTATTTCGATGCTGCATTTTACAACGCTGTTATGTACTTTTATTGGTTTTCATTTGAAGCGATAAAATATATTCGATAAATTTTACACTCGTAGCGCATTTTTCTACAAATTACTTTATATTTTTATAGTAACAAATATTAATAAAATAAAAAAAATCAGGTGACATATTTTGTTAGTAACAATACGTGTTATAACTATCAAACTAACAATGTAATTGCCAGTTAAACAGACTAAGTACTAACATTTTAATGTCCTTAACATACTTAAAACATCATAATGTGTAATGAAAAATCTTGATCAATTGATATAACTCTTAATAACACGTGTAAACATGAACAATGAAGGTAATATTTCATGTACATAGAAAAAAATTACATGCAACAATCATGCAGTACACAAAAATATTTGCAATTATTATACAAATAAAAGGTAGCATTCCATTAAAAAAAATAAGTCGTAGAGAAATATCAATCGTTAACATAAACACATTTTATTGAGAAAGAAAACAAGTGAAAAATACATCAGAACAATAAAGGTATAATAAATGTAAATAATAAAAAAGATAATCAAGACACCGAAACGAAAAAAAGACGAGAAAAATGTAACCAAATTAATTAGTGAACAGTATCTAGTTGACAGAACGAATTTTCCTTGAAAAAAGATAAAAGAAACTCAACATTAGACAGATTAAAAAGAGGCAGGGATTTAAGATTGTTTTGTAAATGAATCCATTTCATGCAGTACATTAATTAATCACTTAATTATTTTTAATAACGTTTGAACACAAAACGATTTTTTTATCTTTTTAAAAATCTATTTCATTTAATAAACCGTTTTGTGTTAAAATACTTTATTTTTAACAACATAAGGTGATATGACGATAACATTCAACACTTAAAAGTGCATAAAGATAAATTTGAAAGAAATAATGTGCACGGATTAACTTTGCGACTATCACGAAAACTAATTTCACTCTTTGATTATTACCTTTTTAATTAATATTGCGGTTAATCAAAACACCATCAGACCACAATATGATTGAAATAAGCCTGTCGAAGGCTACAGTAGTGCATACTATGTGAATGAACGTTTGTAGTTGCCCGCCAAGCAGTAACCGCACACATGTGGTAACTGCTTGTAGATTCCTAGGCTACCGTTATTTGCGGCTTCATATCTGACGGTGTTCCGATGACCGGCCGAAATCAATTATTGATCCTTGAGGGCGATCAAAAATTGTTTTTTTTGCAACGAAGTACAATTTAATTGACTGCCATTAAGTAATAATATTTTAATTGCTATTGCGACCTTTTAATTTGAACCAGGTCTATTATCAAGGGTAATGAAAATATTGTATAGTAAAAATGGTTTGAACGATTGATTTCAGCCTTTATTGGTGGAGGTTTCTGGTGCTTATTAGTGATCGTGATATTCGTTTAAGTTGAAAGGCGTGCTTACTGGGCGGGGTGCGTGAGCGGGGCGCGGGCGGGGCCGGCGGGCGCGGCGCGTCGTGCGGGCCCGCGCCGCCCGCGCCACCCGGCGGACTCGCCACTGCAAAACCAACCAAAATTTTAGTTTTACATACACAAACAAAAATTAACACAATTAATTAGTGTTAAGTCTTCACAGCAGTATCTCCTGCATCAAAAAAAGATATTATCGAAGTGTTAAAAATTGTAGGAATAGGTCATGTTTTAAACACTTCTACAAAAATATCCACTTCACCGTTCGAGTGGCATAAAATGTCACAGGACGTCTTTTATTGGCTTCGTTGCATTCAATAGAGATGAATGTACAAGTCGAGTGCATTTTTGTTGCCTCCATCAAGTAACTGAAGTGAATATATCGTTCTG